CGAAGCGGTTCTGGGAGGGGTAAGGTGGCCCGGGGTGGGAATCGGAGCTGCCGGGGGTGAGCGCTACATCCCCGCAGACGCCCGCCCCACCCTTCCAACGGAGGCTGTTTATAGCACAACACGCCGATTTCACGGGCGCGAATTTCGTCAGTCCTGCTAAAGTTACCGCAGAATGCAGCCGAGGGGTGTGAAACGGATTCAAGTTAGTAAGAACTGAGATACCACGTTCCCGTGCCTTTGAAAAGTCTCAGGTTAGGTTTCTAAGAAAAGCAAACACTGGCAGTCTCTCTTACTAGAAGGATAAACCCTGTTAGGTTGAAGCAGCAATACACTGCCTAAAGCATGGAATTGTAATTGTTTCCAGAAAAAAAAAAAACCACCAAAACCCTCCTCCAGCAAAACCAGCCAATGCAGGCAGAAAATGCAATGTTATCATTTATTTGTGAGGAAATCGATCAGCCTGGTGAGAGACAGACAGCTCAGGGCTGCCTTCTGTGACCCATGTGCCTGCGAAGGCGAGGAAAGCGTTGCCGAGATGGCTGCGAGGAAGCGGGACGAGGTGCCTGCCTCGGCTCTGTCACCCATTTTATACACGTGTCTGCGCCGGGCACTGCTGTGCCAAAAGTCAGTCGAGTTAGCTTAGGGCAAAGGCAGATGCGGTTTATCTGCTTCTAATTTAGGTGCTACGCAGTTAGCTCTCCTCACTGAGTGGCCTGAAACACCAGCCCAATGGGCTGATTCGCTTTTCTATTTACCATTACGCTGCTGGGTTAGAAATTAAAATAACGCTCTGCCGCTCCGCCTGATTTGTTTCAGTTTCTGCCGTAATTTCTTCGGTGGCATAACTAGCCTGAGAGTCCCTCCCCAGAAAGGGAGCGGGGTGATGCGCAGCCCAGTGCGGTAACCTTGTCCTGACAGCACACCTGGGTTTGGAGGAGGCACGTCTCACTTTTCCTCTGCTAGCCAGGGTGGCTGCTATTTCCAAACCGCTGCCCTGTCCCTGAGGGACCCAGCTCTGCCAAGAGCCTGCAGTTTCTGCCTGCACCAGGAGGAGACTGGCGGGACACGGTGGGTGAGATTACACAGGATTTGTCCTGGCCGTGAGCAATCAGTGTGACCTGCAGTGTTGCCGCTGCCCTTGGACACGTTTCCTCCTCCTTGCCTCCCTCCATGTACAGCAGTGCCATTGCCTCTCTCCTGGCTCGCTCGTAACTCAGAACACACACTGCTCAGGTCACTTTCTGAAGCTACCCCTGCAAAGGAACCTTTGTGAAACTGTCCTGGTTTCGGCAAGGATAGAGTTAATTTTCTTCCTAGTAGCTGGTACAGTGCTGTGTTTTGGATTTAGGGTGAGAACAATGTTGATAACTCACCAACCTTTTAGTTGTTGCTAGGTAGTGTTTACACTAGTCAAGGACTTTTCAGCTTCCCATGCTCTACCGACTGAGAAGGCGGGAGGTGCACAAGAAGCTGGGAGGGGGCACAGCCAGGACAGCTGACCCAAACTGGCCAAAGGGACATTCCATACCATGTGATGTCATGCTCAGTATATAAAGCTGGGGGAAGAAGAAGGAAGGGGGGGACATTCAGAGTGATGGTGTTTGTCTTCCCAAGTAACCGTTACACGTGACAGAGCCCTGCTTTCCTGGAGATGGCTGAACACCTGCCTGCCGATGGGAAGTAGTGAATGGATTCCTTGATTTGCTTTTCTTGCGTGCGCAGCTTTTTCTTTACCTGTTAAACTGTCTTTATCTCAACCCATGAGTTTTCTCACTTTTACTCTTCTGATTCTCTCCCCCATCCCAGTGGGGGGGAGTGAGCAAGCGGCTGTGTGGTGCTTAGTTACCGGCTGAGGTTAAACCACCACAGAAACCTCTCTGAGAAACTCAACTTTAGTATCACGGCCTGTGGGATGGAGATTTTCAGAGATTACAGCAAGGCAGCTATCATGACCGGTGATCCCCAAGACTATTTTAATAGAAATAATGAATATAAGTGATTGATTATAAATAGCTTCCTTCCCAAAAGCCTGCAGAAAGTTTCTCCTCTACTTCTCGTCCGTTCAACACCACAGGAGCAGCGGGTGAGTGGGTGCGAGCAGCAGCACAGCAGCGGAGTACAGCTGCTCTGTAAGGAGTACAGCTGCTCTGTAAGACAGCAGGACAAATGAACTCTGATGAATTCAGGACATTTCCAGATGACAGAGTTTGGGAGGGAAGGCAGACCCCACAGTCCGACGGTATGTAAAATAATGTAGAAGATCTCAGGCCGCCTGTGCTTATCCATGCACGTATAGGTTAGGGGCTGATCCCAGAACAGCTCTTTCGGTAGCTGAATTTCCTTTGTTGCTTTTTAACCTTAATAGCTCTTTAATTACTGTCCTTATTTTCAAATCAAGTATACATCTGTGTCATATTAATGAATATTCATTGTCACTGGAGAGCTATTACATGCATTTTTACCTGTGTTTCCAAGGGAATAGATGCTAGCTGAGTGTAGTATTATCTAATTTCAGCCTGTCCTCAGCACTGTAATAAAATTAAGACCTATTAGAGAAGACTCACAGATACATAAAAATAATAATGATTAATTATTTATTTGCTTTATAGTAGCACTTAAGGATTCCTGCCAAGATCATGCCTCTGCTGTGCAAGGCTTCTTGCAGACAACAGCACAAGCGGTGGCCTCGCTTGATGGAGCTGACACCTTGAACGGGAAACACAGCAAAGTGCTGCAGCAAGGATGTAACAGAGTACGTGGTCATTTGAGTGTCCTTTAGTTCCTTGGAGAGTTTGTGCAAACGAAAGAAGGGAGAGGAGGTAAAGAGGGAAGAGATGGAAGGTGAGGGTGAGCGAGACAAGGATCAACACGTACCAGAAGAGCTGAAAAGACCTCACAGAGTTGGACTCTTCCCTGGTGCTTGGTGCCAGTATCCCCTGTTAGGATCCTTGGGGTGGATCCAGCATAACTGCTTACTGGACACTGCTGGTGCCTCAGGCACTGGAGATGCTCCGGTGTCTGCTTGTAGCTTACAGTGCTGTGATCTTCTGAGGAAATGGAGGGAGAGTGAGGCTTAATTAAATAAAGTCTATTTGAAAAGAAGGAAGCAGTTCTTTAATATTTTTACAATGGGTCTGTACTGGAGGAACAACTTCCTCTGCACCGGTCCAGTAAGGACGCTGGCATGGGGTAAAGAGTTGAAGACCCTCAGCTGGACCTCAGTGTGGGAGCACTATAGATATGAAGCAAATCCTATAGATCGACCAAAAAGGAGGACAGCTGGAGCATGAGACATCAGTGTGGTGATGTTTCCACAGTGAAGTAGAGGAGATGTGTGGAAAGCAGCATTGCTGAGAGAACGAGGGCATGGAGCTAAAGAGGAAGGATGAGAGGCAGAAGTTCAGTAGTGGAACTAAATTGCCTGCTAGCGGGGTTAGCCTACTGGTACAGACTGGTTCTAAAACCAGGCAGTCTTCAGACTAGTACAGACTGGAAAAGTTAAAGTGCCAGGTATGCTCCTAGGCACTGGCACTTGATCTTCCCCGTAGCCACATTGTTAGAGCAGGCCCTGGCCACTAGCACTCTTCTGACAATTCCTGGTATGATCTGGGAGTCAAGATGTGCCAGAGACCATTCCTGATACGCAGGTTGCACACGCTCACCGTATTTTGAAGGATAAGAGAGCTCAATTGACACGGCTGTTCTGTGCCAGTCCGCCTCAGTGCCAGGGAAAGGTCCGGGGCATATTTCCTTTGTTAATATAGATGTCACCTAAGTGTTTTGAAGAGAGAGAGGGGGAAATAGTACCAGTCCTTGAGAAGAGGTGGAGGTCCTGCTCCTGAGCTCTGTCTTGCTCCTAGGAGCTCTGGGGGCCTTTGCTGGCTGAACCAGAAGGAGGATCAGAAGATGGTTTGTTCTGAGGGTACAAAACCATTGGAGAAGTTCAGAGCAGAGCTTGTGTGTGTCATAGGCCCTTGGAGGGAGCAAAGAAGTGCTGAACATAGAGCAAACTGCCGTCAGGGAGGAGTCTACCTGCTCACCACAGCGGATGGCAAATAGCTTTGATCGTGTCCACCCCAGAGCCTGCTGAGATAGTGGAGCAGGACAAGGCCAGGAGACGCTTCAGGGCTTGAATGGGAAATACCTGAGTCAGTAGTTCCCGTTTCATTACACACCCATCACTTCCAATTCAGAGACAGACGAAAAATACTTGATACCTTGTGTGGACCTGTGCATGGACACATGTGGGCATGGTGAGCAGGGCAGGGCTTGCCACCAAACATTTCACACAGAGGTCTTTTGTGAGAAGGGAAGGCATTGTAGGAAGTTTTCTGAGCCTGCTAGCTTTGATCTTTTTATGTCATTTTTATTTCCCATTTTCTGAGCCTCCCCGACTTGCAGTACCTGCAGCTGAGGGGCTGTGAGTCTACAGCAAGAAACTGAGGTCACAGGGAGTAAATCAGAGTAAAGGGCCCCCCTTTGGCTTCAGTGTCACCTGGGTGCAGCCTCCAAACCTCACCACAAAACAGACAGGCACTGATTAATTACAAATAGTGTCATCAAGTGTCCTACAGAGCAGACCAAAGCATTGGCATGGGCAGCAAGATGGAGAAACCTTAAAATGATCCTACTGAGATGCTGGCAGGATTGCAGTGTCCCATTGTGGGCAGTTCCCCCACCCCGCTGGTGCCTCCCTTGTCCCCAATAGCACTGAAGGAGTGAAGAAGAGCAGACCCACTGCCTCAGTGAGGAAATGTTATTCCTCCTCTAAAAGTGCTTCTTTTGTCCCTAAGTCCAGGAGAACACAAAATGTTGCAATTTGGGGTAAAATCGAGAGGAGGTGCAACAGTTCTGCTGGACCCAGTACATCCCAGTACATCCCATCCCATCCCATCCCATCCCATCCCATCCCATCCCATCCCATCCCATCCCATCCCATCCCATCCCATCCCATCCCATCCCATCCCATCCCATCCCATCCCATCCCATCCCATCCCATCCCATCCCATCCCATCCCATCCCATCCCATCCCATCCCATCCCATCCCATCCCATCCCATCCCATCCCATCCCATCCCATCCCATCCCATCCTTCTCTTGTAATGCAGCAGAAGGAAGTTTCTGCCTGACTTTATTGCCTTTGCCAGCATGTGAGTGCTGTATGGAGGAGATGGGTTGGGTATGTAGTGTGGACACCTGGTTTGTGATTGTCTTGTCTCAACAGCAGATGTTGCTTAGATCCAGGGAAGGCCTCCTGTTGCACCTCTCATCGTATAACCACGCTGAGTACAAATGCATGTGTAGTTATCCTGTGTGGGCACTAGGCCCACCACATGCTAGGGGCACCAGGTTTTCTGAAGATACAGTGGTTAGATGTGCTGCACACCCCTAGCACAGCACTCTAAAGCTGCTGCAGTGAAGAAAGCAACTGGGAGCTGGCCATGGCTGGATAGATGAGCCTGAAAGGGAACAAAATATCCCAATTACTGCTCTGCATACCTGGATCCAGCAATAGAGGACAGTACCTTACGCTTTCTTATCCACATTCTTTCCCCCCGAGGCTATAGATGGAGCAGAAGGCTGTCCACTGTTCAGAAAATACCAGGCTGTGCTATAATTGCAATTACTGTGATTGAATCCCGTGCTTCTGAGCTTCTCCTGGCTTCCTGCAAGGGCTAGGAGGAGATTCCTCTCATGCAAAATTGTGGTGATTTTTCCCATTTCCCTCCTGGCACTAATGCTAGCTGGGCTCCTCTCTGGAAACGTAGGTGAGTCTGTACAGGAGGTGTAGATGCAAACTGGGAGTCTCCTGCACTCCTGACTAGCTGGGGTGAGAAAGGATCCCCTTCTCCCATGCCAGCAGTGAAGGAATTTGCCTTCCTCTGAAAGACAGAGGCTCCTTTGGCTGCATGCCCCCTAACTGGTTCTCTCCTGTCTCAAGAGGTCTAGGCAGCAGCATTTTCCCTGTTTCTTGTCTATGACACTGATGTAAAAGGGATAAAATCAAGCTCTTGGGTTAGCATAAATACCCTGGGAAGAAATCCTAGGGGGAAGTCCTCGCTCTGAGCACGTACATGAAAGTCCTGGGCATCAATCCAGAAGAGGGAGGCAAAGAGTTTATAGGCCTGGGAGGGGGATCAAAGAAACCTGCAGCAGCCATCCATCAGAACAGGAGGAAGACTTAGACACCTCTGATAAAGGCTCTTGGGAGTGAGTATCGCCACTGGTGTGGGGGCAGCCGCTTACCTTGCCTCCTGCCAGCTGAGCTTCTGGCTGCCTCCAAAGAGTTCCTCTCCGTCTGCAAGCGTGCACATCTGGGGCAGGGTGAAAGCAAGAGAAGCTGCTGGAGGGCAGGCTCCTACCTGCAGGATGCAGGGGCAGGAGCCATCCTGAGCAGCCTGGCTTTGCAGTTCCATGTCAACTGAGAAACCTTTTTGCATCCAGCCTCCAGGCACACCACACAGGGCTGTGCTGGGCCACGCCTGGGTAGTACCCAGGGAAAAATCACCCCACCAGCCATTTCCGGATTTTTCTTTGCTTTGCCCCAGAACCAGGAAAAGGATAAGAAGAAAATTAGCTGCAGGTATGATACTTTCCTACAAGCAGCTGGGAAGAGCACTGGGGAGACAGACCTTGGTCTGCTTTTTTGCCTTACTGTCCACAATTCCTAGCAGAGTGCTTGGTGCGGATAATGATTGCTTGCCCCAGAAGTGAAATAACATGTTCCTCTTCCCCATAATAAGGAGAAACTGTCCTTTTCTGTGGTGTCCAAGAACGCTGCAGCCCCCAGGTCTTTTTATAGCCCATGGCAGGGATAGCTGTGTCTCCCTAGGCACTTCTGGCCTGAAGTTTCTCAACAGGATTTGGCAGAGCCTGTGCCGGCACCCAGTTGGCATACAGGGCCCCAGGGAGCAGCTTTCCTGGACCTGCTCCTTTTTTTTTTTTGGCAGACAAGGGATCACCTCCTGGCTGGGGGTGCAGGATGAAACCATGAGAACACTGCAGGGTGTTGGCACAACATCACAGGGCATCATCTACTCCTGCGGTATGATGCCCTGGAGGAGCCAGGACAGCTTGTCTCCTAAGAGAAGGAGCTGTCAAGGCTGAGGAATGCTGCTCCTGTTGGGTGCATCAACAAGGAGAGCTTGCCATCTGCTGGAAAGCGATCAGCATTGACAGGTGACAGTCTGGCGAGAGGTCTTGGGTATAAGAACAGGAGAAAGGCCTGTGTCAGCAGTCCTTGGAGAGCTGGATGGCATTTGGGCCAGAGAGAGCAGGAGGAGCACCCTCTGAGGAGGGTAAGCACAGAGCAGGCAGGAAGCTCCGGTCTCAGGCAGATGAGGTCTGACAAGACTCGCTACCATGCTACCAATCTCCTTTAAACCTCCTTGGAGGTGTCCGTCACCATTGCAGAGGTAGCAGAAGTGAATACGTGTTTGTGTGACTAATGCGTCTCAACTCATTCATTAGAAGGGCAGAGCAGAGCTGGCATGGTGGCGTCCCGCATCTCCACAGCACGATTTGCCAGCGTGTCTGTCAAGCTGTCTGTGTGCTGTTCACAGCTTCCCCCACCACTCCCTACACAGCTGAGATACCTCCCTCCCTTTGACATATTCTCAGGATTCAGCCTTTTGTTGTGCCACCAGCACATCTAGCCCGACCGGCACCGAGCATCCTGCTCCCAACCACATCAGCTCCCAGGAACACACATCCAGCTGGAGAGTCCTCAGTTTTTCCAATGAGATTTTATTAATGTCTAGGAGGATATAAGCAGATCTCCAGCACAAGGGATTGAAGAGCTGGTCTACCAACAGATGGACTAAACCTTCCCTACCAATACAAGTATTGGTACCTCTGGGTATGTCATATTAATACATTGTATAACATTGCTTATGTTATCAAAAGCTGCATCAACCTTACTGGCCTGCTATCCCACTGCTGCACTGAATTAGACGCTGCACAACAGGAGCAGAGCCAGGGAAAGCTCTGGGACGTTACTCTCCTGGTGTGGAAACCACCATGGGAACTTGACAGTGTACAGACTGTGCTCTTGCCCTTTTAATTCAAAAAGGTAAGAAATAACAGTGGCAGCACCAAATGTCTTGAATTCCCTGTATTTCATGATAGATGAGGCCCAAACTCATATTAGGTATTTCTGGAAGGTGCCATTTTCACATGATCATTTTTTCCCTAGCAGAGCCAGGCTGCAAGCCTGCACGCAGAGAGCAATTTTGGCACATCTGCAGAAGAAGGGGGTGCAGGACCTTCTCCTGCCTCTGGCCCAAGTTGCAGATGCGTTTCTTCAGTGGCAATATCATTTTAAGCAGCATTTGGTTCCAGGCACTTACCTCCCACCCTGCTGTACCTACTAGACTGTCTGGTCCAAGCGTTCGTGTAGCTTCATGGTGAGCCCGATGGGGAAAATGATCCACGTTAAAATAAACCCAGCAAGACCCCCCCAAAAGAACAGTGTCTCAGGAGAATGAGCAGAGGCTGTGGGGATGGGTAGGAGGCAGCAGGAGAGCCCCTTTCTACAGCATGGATTGTGAATTTCCACTCTGAATAATATTGGAAGAAAAGTAGGAGAGACTGAAGGAAAATAAGGCAGAAGCAACAGGGAAAAGTGTGGCCACAGTCTCTGATTTTTGTTTCAAATTGCTCCTATCAATCATTCTTCTCATTTAGAGCAGGGACGGGAAAATTGCTTTGACCAAGAGAATAGCTCCAAACTTCTCTTCCCAAGTTCAGCCCAAATCCTGTGTTCTACTAAATTTTCTGATTTCATTGTGCAAGTAGGAAACTCCCCAATCAAGGGCTTACTTAGACCATGTTGTGTCGTAAGTAAACTTAGTGGAAACTATCAGCTGGGATTTGAGTGTAGGTTTGTGTGGAGCTCCAGGGATACTCCAGTGAAAGGATGTTCTTTTCCAAGTCTGGTCAGAACCAAATAGTCCCCAGGAAAATAACAGGCTTTGCAATTCCAGGTACGCTTCCAGATCAAAGATGCTCACTAGAGTGACTCTCCTAAGGTTTTCTTCAGTAAATGATGAGGAAGGCTAGGAAAAATTTCAGTCTAGTAATCCTCTGAAGGGGCCTGCGAAATCTAACCTTTGGTTAGTGTGAAGATCTTCAAAATCAGAAGAACCGCTACCACTACCATGTCATGCTCCCCTCCCTGAGTAGTCACGCCTGGCAGCCTCTTGCCAGGCTCCTTGGCTTTAATTTACACATTACTCCATCTAGTGGCCTAAAGGTTCCAGCATCCAAGAGTTTAAAACTCTGCCCTGGTACCAGCTGGAATTCAAACCTCTGCAGCAATTTTGCCATCACCACTTTCGCCTCCATCTGTTAAGAAGAAAAGCAAAGTCATCGTCAGTGACAGCAACTACAGCTTAGACTGCAGCTACTTAAAATCAGTGTATTATGTCATGCTGCTTTGTCAATATAGAGATTTAAAAGTTAAATGTTACTCTGTTAATGCAGCTGGCTGAGTTTGGGCAGGAAGAATAGTTGCCTGGAGCTTCCTGTATTTGAAGACAACTGACAGGTGCTAAGATCTGTCCCTGTGTTCACGTGTTAACCCCATTTTGGAAATCAGAGGTAAAACCAAGAACTTTAACCTGAAGATTTTGAGCACTAGTGCTTAGATGAACTCAAAGCACAGACCCGAAGAACTGGCCTCCTACTGTCCTTCTGAAATGCTCTCTGCCATGCTCAGGTACTCATATACTTCATTAAATTGTTCCTCCCATCCACGCAGTCCCCTCCTCGCCTTCTCAGAGCCAGTCCTGGCTTGTGCCCTTCTGCCAGCTGATGTTTTCCCTGCCTTGACTCTGCCAGCTGCAGCTACAGGATGGTCCCTAAGAGCCCCTGCACACCCTCTGTGTGTCTGGCCTCGGCTGGCAAAGGGATGTTGACTGTGATTCCCATCAACGGGTTTGGATTCAAGCAGGGTGACCCAGGACAGTTCAGAGGGAGAGCAGCCAGCTGTCCCCTCCCCTGAAGGCACATTGGCTGCATGCGGGCATGGGTGACATGGGACCAGTTCAGTACATGTATGTCTGCTCAGGTGATAGTGTTTGAGAGACATGCCCTGTCCTGGGCATGGTGGGGATCTTCCCTCTAGAGGGAAGAGGGTCAGCGCACCATCCGTGTGGCCTTTGGTCCCCCACCACCAGCCACAGCCAGCACACCCTGAGCTCGCTGTGCTCGCTAATGAAGCGTCATTCCAGGCCTCTGCTTACCTGTGCAAACACCTGCCCGATGCAGGATCGGGGTCCCAGAGAGAATGGAAAATAGCAGTAGTATGGCCTACAAAGAAAAATGTTCAAAACTCTCAATCTGACAGCTTGGTTATAAAGAAGCAAGCAAATATTTCATCACAGCAGCAAGGAAATGGTCTAACTACCACCTTACCTACCTGACTTGTTAAGACAAACTCCAAATTAACATGTTTTTGGTTCAGAGCAGCAATACAGCTCCGAAGCAAGTTTCCTCATCATCTCCACTTACTATATGGCTCAGCTCACAGAGCTGTTTTGTTGCGTGCAAACCTTATTTCAAAGCTGAATGTCAAGCATACTGTAAATGCTCTCCAGCCCGTCACGGGGATGTAACGATCCACCCAATTATTGCTCTTTTGGGAGCTCTGAACCACGTGTGTGAGGGGGCATTTCTTCCAGAAGACCAGACTAACTCTAGGCTGAAGCAAAACCCCTGACTCATGAAGTAGGTAGATGCAGGGATCAGCACCAACTATTCAGGTCACCGATGCCTCCCATTGCACTCCAGCCTACTGATGCAGATACGGCTTAGGCTGCCTGCCCACGTGGCTGAACAGCATCTCCTGTCCTTCAGCCCCTTGTCCCCTCTCTAATGCGGAGACACTTTCAGCTTCCTGGGGCCAGGGCTGCCACGCATTAAAAGTTTGTATTGCACTAAGGCAAATACTCAACCTGGTTTTGGTCCAAAGCTTTGACCTCATATAAACGTTAAATAACACTAGTATTGGTCTTTTTTGTAAGGTATCATGTGGTCCAAAGAACTTCTGAACAAAAGCTGCACATTATTGCTCTCTTTTGCATTTGGGTAAGGATTTAGCGTTACTCATACTGGAATGGAAAAATAGTTTTATTCTACTTTTTTCCCCCTTGAAATCTCTTCCTGTAATGGTTCCTTATTACATATTTAATAACCTGGGAGTAAAAAGAAACTCACTTAGGCGCATCTTTGCTAAATCGGTCTGGATTGAAAGTGAGTGGATCCTTGAAATACCTTTCCATCCTTCCCATTATGTAAGTGCTGAACTGTCAAGAAAGAGTTTATTTGCGTTAGTCAGGAGCAGCACACTGAAAATGCCTCTTTGCTGTCACAGGTACAAAACCATAACTGCCTTCTACTCTCCAGGCAAAAAACAATCCAGAGTCCAAATTCATATCCCAGTTTTGCCCAAGATTTCAGAGAGGCCAGTAGAAATATACCCAGGGAGTGTTTTGGCCATCTGATACATGGATCCATTACATTTGGATCGACTGCAGCAGCTAAAAGCTGCCAATGGTGGATGGGACTCACAACAAGCGTCGTGTTTGCAGGAATTCTGACGCCGTCGATGACGTGCTCCTTCTCCATCCAGCGTATCGTCCCTGGGAGGGGTGGGTACAGCCGCAGTGATTCCTTCAAAACCTGCGTCAGCAAAAAGCACAAAAGGTCAGTTAGTTAATACAGTGTAGGAAGCAGAAATAAAATTAATTACCTCCCTATGGCCTTTCACTTTGGCCAAATGGGAGCTTTTGACTTGGGGAACAGATGCTAGTGTATCTGCCTTGGACTCCTGTGGGCAAAATATATGGCTAAGTCAGCTCCCTCAGGCCTGGTTCTTTCTTACGACTGGTAAAATACAGAGAAAAAGAAGCAAGAACCACAAGAGATACCATGCATTGAACAGATCTAACAGCTCAAGTCAGGTCAACAACTAAGCGAAAAAGTACTGGGAAGCAAATTCAAAGGGAATATCTAAGAGTGAAGTCTCATGCGCCCGATGAGCCATTCTCGGTGCCGGCTGCCACGAGGATGGGTGGTTGCTCCCACCTCCTTCCCATTCTCAGCACTGCACTCCCGCTCCTGCCTTTGTCCTGCTTCTGCTGCTCGGGGAGCTGAGCCAGGTCAGAGCACCAAAATGACAAAAAACAACCTGGCAAAGGAAAATGAATAGGAAACAGTGAGAAAAAACGGAATGAAAGAATTTCTTTTGGTGGCAGTGAGCTGTAAGAATGGCCTATTTCATCAAAGTGAAACCTAATTAACAGTGCACATTAGCATCGCACTGCAAATGCAATTAACGGCGTGTATGCACGAGTGGATTAATGAAAAAGAAGCGTAGACAAAAGGATTCAGAATTGCCCGAGCGACAGGAGAGGAGTCCCGTGGTCTCTGATACTCCAGTGATGGACTGGCTCTGACCAAGGGTGACTGTGATTTTGGTTGTACAGATCCGAGCTTGTTCTGTTAAATAAACGGTCTGCTTCGAGAGGATCTCCTGTGATGTCCTAAAACTGAAAGGCTTAGATACCTCATCCTAATTGGAGTGGTATAATTGTGATGGTGTTTGGAGAAGCCTAAGGAAACCTGCTGATTTCTGTAATCACACAGAGATGCCTTTTCCTTATGAGAAATACACCTTTGAAATCTATCCGCTGTCAAAGCACAGTGATTTATGGGATGGGATATGGCAAATGACAAAACACTATCGCCCACCTCGACAGGGCAGTTTAAGAGAAAAGCGACCATGGCAGACTACTAAAATCACAGGGAATTTAAGCAGGGAGAATAGCTACCAGGACTGTGATTCAGCCTTTCCTGAGGGCTACTGGTGTCTCCCATCTTGTAAAAAAGGATATGCAACACAAACGTTGGCGAGTAGCCAAGCCCAGGCTTTGCAGTTCATTACCAACCAGCAGTTCTATACACAAGACCTCTTTTAGGACCAAACTTTTTTTTTCCCCCCCGAGTGACTGAAGAGTGTTTCAAGACTAAATAATAAAAAATTGAAATTGCAAAATATAGCTGTTATTTTTGGATGTCCTCAAATCCCGCTGAGTTTATGGTACATGATGAGATCATAGCTGGAAATGCTTTAACAATAATCAAACAAAAATAGAGCTGTGAGTTTGGGAAGTGACTGGGACTCATGCACAGGTGGGACTTGAAGTTGCAAACTCTTCTTAAAATACAGCTATGGTTTCAGCTTAAACAGGTGGGGATTAAGCAACTCCGCTCTAGCTCCCAGCTTGGTAATAATTAAAGCAAGCAGTGAAGGAATCGTGTGGAATTTTGGAAAGAAATTCGAGGAGCATCCTTCCCAGCAAGGCTGGGCTGCTGCAAACGGCTCACAGTACCTGCTTGCTGACTTTCTGGGGACAAATGCCATCAGGATCAAATATTGGCATTGCTCTTAAAATTTTAAAAGTGTGGGGCTCCTCTTGGTAGTCCCATGAGATGGCAGGAGTGCTACCAAACAGCTCTGACTGGTATTTTACCTCACTCCTACAGTACCTGCGATAAGTAGGTGAGTTTGCCAAGATCCTCATAGTCAATGTCTCTCTTGGCACCAAGAACTTCATCCACTTCAGCCTGAAGCCTGCAGTTAAATTAAAAAATGTTAGCTGCAGACACCCATTTCTTGCTAGGCAAGTTGGCAAATTACATTTTTTACTTTCCAGACATTGAGTTGGACTTTGACTCCTATCCTCAGGTGAAACGCTTACTGATTGATTCCCAGCCAGCCTACCCGAACCTGTGCCTCCTATCAGGATAGAGCAATGTGTGTACAATGCAGCTGAATCAAGCAGGACTCAGGACCAGCTTTGTATAAAGGCTTTGAAAAAAATCACTTAAGATGAATTATTCCAATTCCATCTAAGCTTTTTTAAAATTTTAGATATATTGGGACTATGAAACTGTTTATTTTGGAAGGGAGGCTAGAATTTATTGGGAATTGATCCTAGCTTTCTAATAATCCTTATAATTAAGTTCACCTTGAAATTAACAGCAAGCTGGGTTTGCAAATTGGAGCGCACATACCTTTCCAGTATTTCAGGATGCTGAGCCAGTGCCATTACTGTGAATGACAACTGATTGGCAGTGGTTTCATGACCTAACGACACCAGAAATGAGTTTAAAGGTTAGTATGAAATAATAACATGATACAAAGATGGTCTACTAGTGTGACTGTGAACAGGAAACTTTAAAAGTCAGGCTGCGAATGTTTCATTTCAAGTATGCTAGAAATTAAAGGAAACACTAAAAGGAATGTAAATTCTATGTAATGAGCTTTCAAGAATGACAAGAGCAAGACATAGCTGGTAAAGATACGAGCCGTCTTGCTCAACTCAATGCTGCAGTGGCTGCATATGGCACCTACTGGTTATGAGCTCCTCAACAGAAGGGCCAGTGAGGTTCAATACTTGCCTGGTCATATTATGGGACACATGGTCCTGCCGAGAAGCAAGGATTTACTGGTTTTGAGGGAAAACAGAGCTTCTAACCGTCTTTAAAATGTCTGCTTTATGCGGGTAGTTTTCATTTTTCATGGATAGGTCTGCTTTATGCGGGTAGTTTTCATTTTTTCATGGATAGGCATATGTATTATTTTAAAGCATGACAGAAAACAGACTTCTGCAAAGATGTATTTGTTGCAATAATGTCTTTCAAATAACGTCTTTCATGCGAAAGAACAGTGTTTTGACCTCACCTTCTTAGGAACCTAAATCCTACTGACTTGCAAGATCGGTTTTTCTACGTTGTTTACCTCATGCATCATCTTGGCCCCTCCTTTTTCTGATAGTCTTGACAGTGCCCTCTCCTACCAAGCATGGACTAACGCTCTTAAGGCAAGAATGGCATTTAATCGTGTGGGTGAGGTGACGCGAAGACACGTGGAATATGTTAAAGATGCTTTCAGTGGGGTTTAGCAGGATCTGGAGGAAGGGCCAGAACCCCGCAAGAAATAGCCTTGCACCCCAGCAGGCGGTGCTGCCCTCTGCACCACAGGTTGGAAACCACTGGCCTGGAATTATTTGCTGTGTTGATATGACCGAAGGAGGATAACATATCATTTGCCTATAAGAAAACTAAGAATTCTCTTCAGACCTTGCCCAGCTGGTCCTATGCCAGTGTAATACTGCTGTCTTCCAACCAAGTGACTCCTGGTTACAGCAGTGTCACACGGAGTGAACAAGGACATTAATCATGACCCTGTAGATGGCTCAAGAATGATTACAGCTTCCTGCATGACATATCCAAACGTTAAAATATCTACCAACCTGCAACAAAGAAAGTGATAAAGTTATCCAGAATGTTTTCATCATCTCTAGTTTCCTCCAAAGCTGTCAAGAGAGAAAAGCAAATGAGATTAGAAAACGTCCCCATGCCCCAGCTGGAACGGCCAGAATGCTCTGCCCTGTTTTGCACATTTTGTCTGAGGTGGCATCAGGAGGGGATGCTGAGCAGGCAGCTCAGCGGTGACTTGCAACCAATATTTGATCCAACGCAAAGAAATGGGGAATTTTCAAAGCAACTCTCACTGTCTTCAGTGTGAAGAAACCCTCCTGAAGACATCAGAGGATCAAAGTTCAGATCCTCAAAATAAGCCTCCCCAGATCTCATGGCAAAACATGCCACAGATGAATTAAATCCAACAGCAACGTGTCCCCTACCATCTCCTTTCAGTATCTGCGTAAGAATATCCAGCGTGGCTTCCTTCCCATCCTGGATGGCCTCTCTCCTCTGGTCAATGCACTCCTTCCCCACACGCCGCAGCAGCCTCACGCTCTCCTTGACCTCCTTTACCAGCTTCTGTTTCCCTGGCATGTACTGAATACAGAATTTCTTTAGTCATTTTATTCCTTTTGCTGGTAAAAAAATATTGCCAGTGTTATTTTTCAAGTGGGCACCTGGTTTTCTGCTAAATGACATTTGTCACAAGAACGTCTGCTCTCCACGGAACAAAGTGAACGTCCCCAAGGTGAAGGGTTTGGGCTGAAATGAGAAATATTCCAATCTGGGCATGCTGACGTCCTGCCTTGTCAGAGCTGATGTTTTGAGCACCGTGAGCAAAATTCCTCACCTCTCCATGGAGAGAAACTGCAGCATGCGATACACAATGTCACCTCTGGGCCCAAAAAGGAAAACAGGAGCTCTAAAAGCCTGAACTACAGCTTTCATGAGAAACTGTGGAATGATTCTTAACTTAAATACTTCAGATTACATCCATAATTTCCTAGTATATGAATTTTGGTCGAAAATATGGGGTTTTTATGGTAAAAAAGTTCAAATTTCTTCCACCTTGGGTGAAGGCTGCCTTCCTTCTTGGACAAATGGCAAAAATCTCAATTTTTGCAGTGATGGGTGTGAAAGTGTGAAAACACATGAGAAGGACACACGTAGGGGGGAAGAGAAGGCAAAAAGACAGAAAGGAAGCATTAAACGGTCATGTTAATTTTGCAAGTGTTTTAAAGCACTAATGAATTTTATCTTAACACACATCGGAGGGAAAGAGCTACCGATGACCCCTTCCCCGTCATACATGGACCTCGCACAGCTCCGGCCCCTGCAGGAGCAGAGGCTCCAGCTGGACACGAGGCGAGAGGACTGAAGTGAGGTGCATACAGACCTGCATGAAGGGGACGCGCATCTTGGTCATTCCCTCCAAAACCACGGTCACAGCATGTGGGAAAGGCGTCTGGTCATCGCTCAGTGCATTTAATTCCAAGCCAAAGGCTACCTGAGGAGCAGGAGAGAAAAAGGCAGCAACTCGCTGCATCCTCCTGGCTCCCTGGGGCTGGGGTGAAAGAGCAGGACAGCCTCACACCGCCGCCTTTTCCCCTAAAAATACCTCAGGTTAGATCCTGCCTTGCGGGAGGCTGCAAGAGAAGGGTCGTATCTACATTATGCTTCCTCCTCATTTGGGGGGATTAATAATTTACTATTACTCTCCGCTCATCCCAAACTGTTTTGCACAGAGAAGGGAAAAGCCAGCGTAAGGCAGACTTCGTGCTGACATATAATGGTAATAATACAACATCCACACGTGAACAAGCACTGGTGTGCCCCTTTTGGCATGGAGGGGTGGGAGGTATGAGGCTGTAAGGACTTTTGCAACGGGTCCCCGTCCTGCAGGCCACACCTAGGCTGCGCAGACCCTTCCTTAACTGCCCCTTGCTATGGCTCAGCCCAAATGGAAGTGGCACAATTAGTTCTCCAGCTCTTCTGGCAATGCTGGGAAAAGGTCTTGTTCCCTGGCTCCGGCTCCTGATCCCGTCCTGCTGCCGGTACCCGTTACTTCCATTCCTTCCTGCCAGTCACAGAGGAAACAAGAAAGTGGACAGCTGGTACCTTTGCAATGATATCCATAGTCACCCGGTTCATCATTGTCAGCATGCTAAACTCTTCTTTTCCATCTGCCTTTTCCTCTAGCTTCTCCATCAGCTCCTCTGCTTTTTCATTAAAAGTTTCCATCAGACCAATCAGGTAGCTGAACAATTAATAAAAATGAGTGATGGAGGCTCTGGAGAGGACATCTTTGCTCAAGCAAAATTATCTTCATTATTTCCCATTGAAAATCATAATGGATTTTTGTTTTTTAATTTACAATAAATTTTCCTTAATACTTTAAAAAGCAAACAGATAAAATGAGCTAAATTCTTCTTATAGCAGCCCCGCTCCGTCCTGCCATGTAAACGCTGGCTGTCATGGCAAAGGGCTTTGCCTTTGCATGCTGAGGCAAATGGACTTTACCTTCAGACCCTAAACGCAATGCATCAAGGCAAACCAGACCAACCCCCTACTTATTAACCATGCCGTATCTCCCACAGGGAATCACTCAGGCAGGTGAATGATGAGGCTTGCCCACTTCAAACCCCCGAGGTCTGTTTTCTGACAGAATAAGGCAGCCGTCACCACACTCCTGGATACGCAACCCTGGGACCCTTCTGCTGTTGCTGAGCTCATACGGGTGTCACTCCCGCATGGGAAGTCTGGTCAAATTATGCTTGTCATGGAAATGGTGCGTTGGACTCTAAATGAAACGTGATTTTGGCACTAAATGTTTTTTTTCTCTTTCTAAATATCAAATAATGGATCAATGACAGGGAGAATCATGAAAATATAGTAGAAATAACAGCTAGATCATCCCAGGGATATTTGCCTTACGTTCGGCTGAAAGCTGGATCCATTATCTTCCGCTGCTTGTGCCAATGCTCATGGTTGCAAACAGTTACCAAGCCATTCCCTAGAAACCTAGCATTTAGGAAAACACAGAAAAGAACAGTTTTCAGCAAGGGAGCCAGCCAAACCCTGTGTAGTCACAAAGATAACTCTTCCATATCTACTTTCTTCTATTTTTCCTATGTGCAGGGAGTACCGTGGTGCTTTGAGTACACATTTGTTACATCACTGTGGACCACAACTGAACTGCAGATAAGTTTTGCCTGGTAGGTGTGGACTGCTAAGTCCAGTAAGATGCTGGTTCATTACAGCTGTTGTCCAAGTAATTAATATAATAACTGGATTATTATATTTTTAAAAGCTTCAGGCTAACAGAGAAAAATCCCCTTTTTTGTTATTGAGCTTAGGAGCTGGAAACTCCCATGCATTAAGGAATAATTCAGTGCTCTAAAATCTAAGTGACAAGTTTGATGATGGTCTTGAGCAAACTATTCTGAGACTAACTGAACATCCACAGGGGGAAAAAAAAAATATGATCAAGGTAAAAAAAAATCCAACATAACCTCCTCCCTGACTGGGAAGACATTTGACTTGACACATAATTTAGTAGGTACATGTTGCTTACATATGTCTGGAATTAGTCATTAATCCCAACACTAAGGTAAATGGTCTGAGTCAAAGTAAGTGTCATGCCTGTGACGTTATTTATCTTTCACTTATTTTCAGATCACAATGGCTTCAGATGGGTTTCACCTACCTCTCACCAAATATGTTGAAGATACGACCGTACACCAGCCGATCCTTTGGGTACTGTGGTGACATCAAGAACTCCTAAAATCAAATCTCAGGTCAGTGAATACCGAGTGCAATCCGTTTCCCAGACAAAACATAAAAATCCACTCACACGTTCACTCTTCTCCTCCTGTAGCAATAACCTGAAGACTGGATGAATTATTTGGTATGCCCTGATTCCCCAGTTCCCATGCTGCTAGCTTGTTCTGCATGCCTCTAGCACTTTTTGCCCAATGACCCAAAATCTCACTCTGTGGTTATTGCAAAGATTTAGAGGAAGAAATTCAGTCCCTTATGCCTCGCTCATTTGAGATATTAAGCTCTTGCAAAGAGTCTGCTTTTCAGAAATGGTGGATGCTTGCTCTATCTGCTGTTTAAATAAAGGTAACAAAGTAAATCAACTGATCAAGGAAGAAAATAAATCAGGACAGCCCGGAGAGCAGAGCACCTCATACCCTAACCCAGCCAGAGTCACCCTCTCCGCAGGCACAGGCTGGCTGCACCGCGCTGTCCTGAACACCAGGGACCGCCTCTCTCTTTCTGGAGGGACGGGCTGATCGCCACTGTCGATTAGGCTTTATTTTGCAGTACCTTCACTCCTTCGGGACTCAGAATCATTACTGAGACTCTGTGAAAGGCATTAAGCCGTACAATAGGTCCATATTTCTCTGCCCTACAAGAAGAGAAGGAAAAAAAAGAGAATTATGGTACAAACCACCAACATATAACAGTTCAGACCTAATAATCTCCAAGGACCAAAGCAGCATGTACTGGGAACTACTGCAGTCTTCAGTGAATAAAGTCATTAAGAGAAAGATCAGTGCTCTCTCTCTAGCTCCTCTACCGACCTTCTGAATTATGCTATGTATGTAATTCGGGGCCTCTGTGCCTTCACTTCCAAATTTGTGCTACAGGGCTACCCCATTCGATGTTACTGATGTGTCGCAACTTACCACTGCAGGAAGAGATCATGCATAAACTCCTGTTTCCTCAGCATTCTCCACAAGATTGGCAGATGTCCAAATAAAAAGCTGCAGAAAACAAAGGTTAAGAGTGTCATGAGGATGCCAACATAGGGTTTTGTATGGATTGCAACCCTTGTTGCTCAGTGATGCAATACGAGTTTTGCTCATGTTTTCCTCCTTGTAAGGAAAGATAAAAATAACACCTAGCTGTGCCAATGCCCAGCCCTCACGTGGGTAAGCTGGGGACCAGGATCAGGCTGGTGCACTCGTGCAGCCAGGAAGACCAGTGCAGAGACGCAGGACAAGGTCTTTTTTGCTGCTGTATTACAGGAGATGTTTGGGTCTGGGTGGGAGCTCCCAGCAAAGTGCTTTGCTCTTTGCCTAGCTGACTGAATCTCCGCTGCAACGACTACGATTCTGTACATGCAACAGACATCTGCATTAAATATTCTTTAATACATGCTCAGCCCTGATAAGCGTAACTTCGGTTCTGTCAATGGAGTTAAACTGAATAAAAGTAGGCGCACACTCCTTCTGTCTAAAGTCATGTCACCTCAAATCCTGAAAAAAAGAGGACAACCTAGAAGGATAATCACTGGTTAATATGGAAACTGCAGAAATGAATAAAAAGGGTTAACTCTTCAAATACAATAGCTGTATTAAAAAGTTAGAGATCAATTCCTTCCTTCGGCTGTGAGTGGTGAATTCCCACCAGCTTTGCATACATCTGAAGGAAGATTTGGCCAAGCTCCTCTCTAAACGAAGCAAGCTGCGCTCAAGATCTGTTTTCCATTTGAGAGACAGCCAGCCATGCTATCATCCTTTCCAGTATAAACAAGCTATAGGGGGAAAAACAGGCTCTTATCTTATTTCTGGTGGAACGGGTAGGCACTTAAAATAACAAGCACTCAGCAAAGTTACCCAACATCTACAGAAACTTTTAATCCTTCACTTGTTTGACTCCTCCATTGTAACTGGACTCCAAAAAGATGTGAAAGCCCCCAATATGACAGATGAGTCCTTCGTTAGCTGAAGCTCCAGAAACCGCTCTATCTGCAGCGCATGAAGCAAGGTCCCACTCATGGCTCCTCTTGTGTGTCACATGAATCCTCAGAGATATTTTTCATCCCCTGTCCCATCACTACCCAATTAAGTCAGGTGTTACAACAGGCCTAAAACATTCATCCGCTAATGAGAAGTCCCAATTACTTACTGCATGCCACAAAAAAACCTAAGCAAGGACTTGATTTGGGATATATGTGACACTATAATCTGAAAACATGTATTTGTAAAGAAATCCTTTTTGCTCATTTCTTGCTATTAAGTCTTTGATATGAAGCAAACCTTTGAAGAGATGACCTCCTCCCTATTCATGCAGTAAAAACAACACAAAGCCACTAGGACTCACTTTTCCAGCCTGTCCTGCACAAGTCTCCTTTAGAGATGTGCTGTGTTAGTTCTGATAAAATAAATCAGCACAAGGGCGTTAACGTCATCTTGTCATCATGCAGCCATAAAACCTGAGACAAAATCTGAGGTTTTGATAAGATTCTGTTGTACTTCGTTCTAAAACAAGGCTTTCTTAAGCTTTTATCAAAGCGAAAGAGACAAGGGCAAAGGGAAGGTCATGCATCTGGGACAGAATAACACGTTGAAACAATACAGGCTGTGGGCTGGCTGGAGGGCAGATCTGCTGACCACAACATGGGGGCTGGTCCCGGTGGGCAGCAAGCTGGACACAAGCCGGCCTTTGCTTCTGGTGCTGCTCTTCTCCAGTTTGCCAGATACAGTCTTCAGCTGAGAAGCGTTTAGATTTGGATGAATCCCATTTCAGAGTAATTTGGGTTGGCAAGGACCTCTGGAAGCCACCGGTGCAGTCCCCTGCTCCAGGCCAGTCAACGTTGGAGCTATGTTACGTGGCTCAGGTCCTCACCCAGTCACTTGTACCAGCGTTTGAGCACCCTCATGGTGAGGGTGTTTTGCCTTACACCTAACTGGGATTTTCCTTGCGGCAACTTGTGTCCATTGCCCTTTGTCCGTCATTTTGCAACTCCAAGGAGAGTCTGGTCCCATCTTCTCACAACCACCCATTAGGTAGCTGAAAACAGCGAGTGGATCCCCTCTGCCCTTCAGCAGCCACTTCTCCACCCAAAGCAAGCCCAGCTCTCAGCCTCCCAGGCATCCTGGCTGCCCTCCACTGGACTCGCCCCAGTTTGTCAATGTCTTTCTTGTACTGGGGAGACCACCACCACACACAGCACCCATCTTTACCCCAGGCATCCTGGCTGCCCTCCACTGGACTCGCCCCAGTTTGTCAATGTCTTTCTTGTACTGGGGAGACCACCACCACACACAGCACCCATCTTTACCTTTTTTTTTTTTTTTAATAAGTGACTTTTCAGAGCTGGAGGTATTTGATTTTCCCTACCTTGGACATTTAAGAGTGGAAGTGTTCGTGCAACAGGTACTGAAATGGAGGTTTTGGACTGTCCCTGACAATTTATACTTTTGAAAAGCTATCGCATGACATACAAGCTTCCACCTAGACATAACAGTACTAGAAACCTTCTTGGGAAGGATCCTAGGCTGATCACCAACATCAAGCCTCAAACCCTGAAGAAGGAACAGAAAAACAGCCACAGGGTTACTCAAGCTGCCATTACTCCAGAGTGTTACTTCACACTTCAAAATGAACATAAGGACAAGCAGGTTCAGGTATGACAAGATCCATCCTCTCTCTAATCTTAGTATCCAACCCTGATTACACAAGTAAAACTTGGAGTTAGGCAGCCAAGGTTGGTGTCCCTGTAGGGCTGTGTAAGAGAGTGCTGATGCAGTGCCTCTTCCCATGGCATGTTATGGAGGGCATGTGCACCCAAAGGTGAGGTTGAATGGGAAGCCCACACACTCCTGGAAGAACCATGTCTCCTTGTGACAGCACTGCCACTGCCTTGCTGGCAGCCTTCTCACTGCCCTTTATCACTTATGACATTTTTTTTTTGGCACAAACCGAACACCTAGCTCATGAGGGAGAGCAGGGAAGGTGCCTGGTGGAGTCAGTGTCAATGTACTTCTTGGAGCTGTGCGGGACAGCAGGCTGTGCTGGTCCAGTGCAGAGAGCCGCTCCTGCATGGCTAGCGCTGCCTGTCAGGTCCCTCTTTGGCGTCATAAGCAAACGCACAGCAAAGTTTAGATGGGCAACTCTAAACTGCTCGTTTCATGCTGCTGTGGCCACCTTGAGGCGACCAGCCAGGGAGATGTAGGCCAGCACATCACATCCCACCCCACCAGCCCATGGCAGCCAGGCAGTGCTGCAAAGCAGGGCGGGGGGATGTCCGGTGATGGCCGATG